AGCACCTCTCACATCAGGTGCTATCCAATATAGTACCTTTCACATCAGGACTGCTTGACAGTCCTGAATTTGGGGTGGGAGTCAATGAGGGAGAGAGGCGGGTCAAAAAGGTATGTTTTGAGACGTGCATTGAATGAGGGGAGGGAGGCCATTTAAGCCCAGTTCACCAGAGAGATAAAGAATTCTCATAAAATAATAATTTTTGCATTTGACCCCTAAAAGCACGTTACAAGAATTACTGCCAAGTGCAGGATTGTGCCACCTATTGGCAAATAAGGCAGCCAATTTGCACACTCCACTGTCCTACTAAGTGAAAAAGTGCATGACCAATTTTATCTGAGGTTGGTTGGCGAGGTTACCGGAAGAATTCTTTTTGAATAATGCCATCTTTAATGTCCACCTGAACAGGCCAACAGAATTCAGTTTGTCTCAAACCCCCCAGCACTACACTGAAGAGTCAGCCTGGACTATGTAAAGGGAAGAGTAAAGAGGAATTTATTGATTATAGCATTTCAATGGGAGCTCTTTATCTTTCTACTCCCATACCCTACTTCCATTTCACATAGAACTCTGCTTTGCTGGAGGAGGCACTTGCTCAGTTACTGACCTGTGATTCTTCACTTCCAGTGTCTGTTTTTCTTTCGGGTCCTCACTTCCGACACCATGTTACCACTTTGTTTCTTACATTGTTTTCAAGACTCCAAGTCCACTCCTCCAAATAAAATATAGTGAATCTGTTCAAAACTCCTACTTGTGAGTAGCCAAGGTATGGCCAGTAGATCTTCCAATTTGCCTTACAGGCCACTCCAAACTGCTTTACTTCAATTGAAATAGTGACTCTATTAAGGGATGATCTAAAAACTCCCTAATTTGTAAGGCTTGCAAAATCACCAGGGGATTATCACCAAATCTTTAAAGGATATTTCTCCATGGAGCATGAAGAGTAGGGATTGGCACCTATTCACCTCAGACCACTCTTCATAGGACGGTGGTTAGACAGTGACAAAAGTTGTTGGATTGTCATACAAACTCAAATGCATCTCTGATGTCTCTCTGGGAAGAAAGGAAATCTGCCCACCCACCCCTGTCTGACCTGCAGTTTCTTCATGCTATGGGTTAATCTGAAACACCCTCTGAAATGGCCTAACAAGCTACTCTTGAGAGAAGATGACTAGGAGGGGAATCTCATAGAGATGTACAAGATTTTAAATGAGATTGAAAAAGTAAAACCAAATCAATACTTTAGGATGTATCAAGATAGTAGAAAAAAGGGACATAGGCTTAGAGTTTGCAAAGAGCAATTTCAGGAGAGACAGCAGGAATGTTTTCTTTACACAGAGGGTACTCAACATCTGCAACAGGTTGCCAAGAGTGGCTGTCAAGGCCAGGACACTGGACTCATTTAAAAAAACAATTGATGCAGAATGGTAGAGTGGGTGTTCTGGAGGGATGAGATCAGATGAGCCTTCTTCATCCTGACCATTCTTATGATCTGGATGAAAAGCCGTGACAGATGGCCAGTCTAAAGAGAAGGCCCATCATCTCCTTCTCAGGGTAATAAATGCGGCTCCTGCCAGTGCCACCCACACCCTGAGATGAATAATAAAATGAACATTTATACTTTATTTTAAAAAAAGGACAGAAAGATCATTTATAAAATAAAACTAAAACAGTTTCCTTCACAGGATGACAGGTGAGATTTTAAACAAGCGTGAACAGAGTAGAACTAGACTCCAGTGGTAATAAAAGGTAATTCTGTTTAAGTCATCCTTTGACATTAAACAACAAATATGTTGCATCCCATAAGTGTTGCATAAAAGGAGCTGTACTAAATACTTAACTAAGACTGCTGCATTGAACAGATACTGTGAAAATTATTCTAATATATCTTTTAAATTCCAATTCTGGATGAATCACCATGAAAAGCAAGATAATTTATCACATTGCCCTATTCCAGACAGCTCAGCATTTTTCTATTGAGTCTACGTGTAGCTGGGATATATGTCTGCATATAATGTGCAACTTTTAAGATTGTAGATCCAATTTAACTTTTAATTGTACAGTATTTTGCAATAGTTTTGTCACAACGTACAAATTCAGGCTCAATTCACTTGAAGTCTTGATCAAATAATCAATCTGCTCATGCACTCACAGAAAGCAGGCTAGCACTTTACACAAATGGCTGCAGTGCTAAACGGTTAACAGTTTTGAAGAATACAGAAGTATTTTATAGACTTCTTTCATATGACAAGAGAGGTGATTAGCAACGTTCAAATAACCAAGTCCAGATTAGTGACCAATATTAATATTTATAATGTAATTAAATTTTTCATCACAATGTTGTATTTTTTCAGCTCATGAATACTGTTCCCCCACACCATCACCATTACAGCTGTTTGTGTTCATCGTTTTGCTGAGTCTGCTGATTGTGTTACTGTATTGCAATAAGTATCCTTCCAGATCTGTGAACAACTTGGGTCAAAACTTTTTAGCTCCTATCTGGACATCAAGCATATTGCAATCAGATGCTGGAACCGATGGATGAAAAAGTAAGAGATCCACAAATATTGGGACCATCAGAACACAACTTCATTTGAATGATCCCTTTCAGCGGAGCAATCTTGGGTGATTGATGGTTACAAAGCCAAGTTGTTCAAGATCACTTAGCCACAGTCGGTGGTTAGAAACTGATTGAACAAAAGACAAAATGACAATGAACACACTGAATTTACTGCAAAGTCGTGGTTCAATTTTCCTCTACGATGTTTTTGAAACCTCTGACTTCACTCTGTTATTTTAAGATGGAATGTCAACAAAATGTTTATTCCAAATATCGGTTGCAGCATCTGACTGCAAATATTGTGGAATTTAATACTGGCTCAATTGTAGATCCACTGGCAGTGAAGACTGCAATCCAACTCCCATTTCTAATCATCAAAATCAGAATCTAATCAATCAACTGACTGGTACCATACACAAAGGATGGTACCTTCCATCTCCAGATCCTATGTTAATTCCACCCCTCCCACGCTTTACACAATATCTTTGTCCCAATCCCTTGGCTTTAATCAATTAATCACTGGTCCATATGTCTGAGGGGTATGGGACTCAAGAAAACCTGCAATCTGAACCAGGCTTGTATGGATGGCCCAATTGGGATTCACAGCTGGCTTGAGACATCAAATGCTCTACACTTCTTTTGGAGATCATTGCGATTCGCATGATCGGGAAGGAATCACTTCCTAGAACATTTCACTTTAAAAATTCAAACTAAATTCCAATGCAATATGTTGCAAACCGAATGCCACCAGTCACCAAAGGGGGTGATCATGAGTAACTGCACTATAGTAAGGTATTCTTGAAGCAAACTAACTCTGAAAGAAATGTATGTGAATCAGACTGCAGTACTTACACCAGCCTGTTTGAATGTGTAGCATTTCTGGGAGCCAACAGCCGCATGCAGTCTACATAGGAGTATTGTAATGCTATGTTAATGCTATTTGACCTATGCCCCTTATGTCCTGGTTTCAGGCAGATGTTAATATAATCAGTGATTCAGTTTCTTACTATTAACCTCAGTAGATTAGTTTTCTCACCGGATAATTGTTTTATAGAAGGCTTTCTTGCTGAAGTTGATGGGTTCAAAGAGAATCTAGATTATAGGCAGTAATTGTTGAATGGCAGGTATGGGATTGAATGCAATAAAAAGGCCAAATTAATTGTAAATCCAACATTCCTGCAATTTCCCCATACTAGTAGTCTTTCACAGCATTAACAGTTATATTAACTGCAGAATTCTTGATAACACTTACCACCTAAATTAATAATGTTAAGAAGCAATACAGTGTAACCTTTTCATTAATCTGTTGCCGCATTTTAGCTACTTGTGGAGTCCTGTAACTCAGTGGTTAGAGCACTCGCCTCACAAGCGAGAGATCTGAGTTTGATTCCCAGAAAGGTTCCTTACCCCACATGCCTGTTTACCCAGCAGTAAGTAGGAACCCAATTGTTAGTCTATTGGCGGATTGCTTTTCCGGAGGTGAAAATTCCTTCAAAAAAAAATTGGTCACTTCAATCCATGGCTGTTTGTGGGACACTGCTGTGCGCTGCTGTGTTTCGCCCACACAAATATACAGTCAATTCACTTTACAGTATACTGTTTGAAGCGTTTTGAGACGTCTAGAATATGTAATAAGGCGCTACATCAAATGCAAGGATTATTATTACTTGGCAACCATGTACATTAAGATATTGATGCTGATTATATGTTTTCTGAAATTCTAAACATTGCACAATTTATCTAGTTTTATTTTTCATATTTTATCAGGATGTGTTCAATTTAATATCAGTAGCAAGAGTGCCCAAAGGTACCACGGAATAGAGGTAATTGTATTTTAGCATTTCAGAACTTGCTTGTAATGTGAAAAAAGAGAAAACTGTGAATGCCATAAATCTGAAATAAAAACAGAAAATTATTGGAAATCCATAGCATCTGTTGAGAGTGATGGGTTTAATGTTCTTCATCTGAATTGATTCAAAAAGGTACAATAAGTGCAATAAGGATTAGGATCTTTCAAATGCATTGCCTTTTGAACGATATCTAAATGCATGCATCCTTTGCAGCAGTTTGCTGTGTGTAAATTGCCTTACTGCACATTTTCCACACTCTATAACAAGTCCCATGAACTGCTTTGATGTCATAACAAGATGCTATATCAAATTGCATGGATTATTATATTATATTGGTGAAAAAAGACAGTGCAGGTAGAACAAAAGTGGCAATGACTGTCAAAATTGAACACCTGAAGATAAGAAGGTTAGAATTTTCCTTTGCAGGATGACGAGTCGAGAACCATTTCAAGGTTTTACTTTCTGAGTAAGTTTTATAGCTGATTTACCAAGGTTCTTTGTGTTAACATGTGTGTATATAATCCTCCGTAAGCCAAATTTCTGATCTTTCCCCATACTTCATAAGCATAAAGATGGCAAAAAAGTTAAGGGACAGCAAAAGCAATTTTATATACTTATACACGTTTGTTCTTTTCTTAGTTTCTAAACCATGTTGCTGCAGTTATTGAAACATTAAGTAATGTAAATCTGAAAGTTCTTATTCGATCCCACTGACAGAAAACGCGGCCAAGCAAATGTAAACAAGCATAGGAATGAATTTAATTTAACACGTTTCCAGGAAAAAATAATAATAAAATAATAATAATACAGGACACAGTGCAATCAAGGTTAAAGAATTGACATTAATAATAAAGATCCTTGTTTATGAGCAGCATATGGCACAGTAAAAGGCTGTCACTTTCTACTACTAAGCTTCAATTGCCGCTGTTCACTTTATTAGCCTGCAGTGAAGCTGGTGATTTAAGGTAGAACATTCCGTGGTGCAAAGGAGCGGCTGCTTCTAAGGCCATAATAACCACACTTTTCTAAGCAGCGCAGATGAGATTTCCAAGACAGAAAATAATGTATTCAGCAGTCTTGAAAAATGTTCAGGAATATCCAAAATCATAGCTCCAAGCATCTTGGCTCTAACGTGCTGAGCATGAACAGAAGTATTCAGCAACACCAGCCACAAGCTACAATAATTGACACAATTTGTTCATTTGATTTCAGCACAATTCATGTAGCAGTGATAATGGCATGCTGAATAATGCAGAGTGTAACAAATTCTGAAAGTGCCTTAAATATTTCAAGACATTTCTAAGATCGGGGTGCACGAAATTCATTATTTAGTTTGATACTGTAAAACAGGATAAATTGTTCCGATCTATGGCGCTGCGGTTTTCGACGTCTAAGCAGTCACACAAAGAAAGTTTACACTGAGCCATGGCGTTACAGCAACCTTCACTTTTAGTGGCATGACATTTTAGAAAATGACTACATTCGCAGGCTAACAAAAATTAGGCACTGAAAGAATAGGAGCATTCATAGTTGTAGAGGTTCTTATGACACCCCCCACATTGAGAGGCAAATCCTGAAGAGCAACTTTCCTGTTTTACAGTACCTTTGCAGTTCCTCTTTGACAAACAATGCAGAATCGCTCTCTTCTGTTTTACCTGTTTGAAACATCCTTTCTTCAACATTTTATTGTAACTCGATTTAGATCATGCCATTTTTCTCGTCTTCCTCGGACCCTCTTGTGGAGGACCTCGCTATAAGCAACTCCTTCTCTTGGACCAGGCTGTCGAGCAGATCCTCCTGCCTGTAGTTCTGGTAAACTTTCAGGAACGCGAGAATGGTGATTCCCATCCAAACAACCCATCCGGCCCACAGACCAAACTGCAGAAGAAATGATTGGAAGTCAGTCAATGAACATTAAAAGAAAACTTCGACAACAAAACTTGCATTTATATAGGGTAAGGGGGAAAGGGGAGGTGGCCGTTAACTGCAGCCGAAAAAGGACACATTCTTTTGTTTATGGAAATAAATGATTTGAATACAATCTGGATATTAATACTTAATGTTGAATTCTGCAAACTCAACGGGGGGGGGGGGGCTAACAAAAGCATAGAATGAAACAATTCATTACCTTTGTTTTAGACAATCAACTAATTTGGCTTTGACAATCAAAACAACAGCAAAAGGGGAAATCTACCACTGTCTCAATAAATACATTTGGTTTGTCAGAAACATCGTCTCCATAAGAAACTTTTTAACACAATACCATTTTTAAAAAACTGTCCGAGCACATATTTGTGAATTTCTATATATGGTATTTTATATATGGTATCACTATATTTGGTAGTCTAAACTGAGTGCTCATTGTATGTAGCAATATTTGGTTTGCAAACAGCATATTTCTGACAGCATAGCCATTCACAATGATCTTTTATTGGCAAGAGTTTTCACATTGTGCTAAGGTATCTCAAAACTCAGTTTTTATCAGTGGACTTGATCAATTTTGAACACATGAAATCCATGGCATAAAAGCTCTGGTAAATGTGCAATGCGTAGGAAGTGATATCAGTGACAACCTGCTGACCTGGATGTCAAGCACAAGAAACCAACCAGTTTTCAATGCAGATGCACAAGCAACTGTAGATAGGGCCCTATTATAATGCAGATTACAATTTCATGGACCTCAAAGGATTCTACTGTAATTAGAAAACATTATTATAATAATAATAATCCTTGCATTTGATATAGAGCCTTATCAAGTCTTCGAGATGTCTCAAAGTGCTTCACAGAATATAATGTAAAGTGAATCGACTATATATTTTGTGGGGAAGCAGTGTCCACAAATAGTCGTGAATTGAGTGACCAATTTATCATTGTTAATGTTTTTTGAAGGAATTGTTATCCCTGGAAAAGTGATCTGCCAATCGACTAACAACCAGGTTCCTACTTACTGCTAGGTAAACAGAGGAAGGAAACTTGCCCAGTATTTTGCCCTTTCAGGAGAAAAATCCAGGTCCTTCTCTTGTGAGGCAAGTGCTCTAACCACTGAGCTACAGGACTCCACAATATAGGGTGATAACCAATACCATGTACAATCTAAATCCTTCTGTCTAACCAACTGTAAAATATACAGTTACTGCACTTTACAGTCAGTCCTGTGAAGCACTTTGAAGCATCCTCCCAAGGTGAAAGGCGCTATATCTTTATTATGTTTTTTGGTGCTACTCAACTTTTGACACATTCTCCCCCTTTCCTAAAGAGTTACCTGGATAACTGCAAACTGGTCATAGAAAGAAGAATTATCTAATTTCAGCTCCAGGTCAGTATCCTGCAGTTCTTCACAACTGTAAACAGAGGGGAAAACAGACAGTTGTAGAAGTCTCATACAAAACTGGAATCATCATTTTAGAAGTTGGTTTTGGGTGTGAGTTCTTCTCACTTTTATTTCCTAACGTCTTAGGATACTCAGATTAAAACATTAAAAGCTTTTTCATATTGAACGCACCTATTCACACCTATTAGGTTCGACGTTGATTGTTTTTCCAGTGACAATTGATACCAGCGCATTCATAACCGTTTACCTGAAAGGAAGCCAGATTTCCTGCTAAAATTGCAAACCTGTTTGGCACGCTTCCATTTTCTGTGATTGCATCACACCACATGTTGAAGCCCACGCTGACGATGGTGCTCGCTACGAAGATAAGGAAAACCACAAACGTGCTGACCAACAGGTTCAGGAATGCCGCGAAGAAAGTGCTGCAAAAATAAGGAGGAGGAGAGAAAACAAAATCACTGAAGTCAGAGATACAGCTCAGTCTGCATAAGGCTGGAGCCAGCGAGCAGTCTGCCCACACACAACATAGAGATGAAAATAAAGCCCTTAGGAACATTACGCTCCCGATGGCTTTATCTGCAAGGACAGCGCCAACACTGACGGTGACCACGAAACGCAAGACCTTTCCTCTGGGTAGCTTGAGGCAGCGTTCTGTTTCAGGGCGCTGCACCTCATGCTGGGATGGGGTGCGTCACAATCGGCTGTCGGGTTTCGCACACCCCCCCACCCCCCCGAAAACACACAGTCGATTCACTTTAAAGGGTGTGTTTCCGCGAAGGCTCTTTGAGGCAGTCGGAAGTGGTGATGAGGCGCTGTATCAAATGCAATGATTATAACCATCATCCCTTATCATCATCACAACAACAACAACATCATCATCAACTTGCACTGACACACACACACACATACCACACACACACACACACACACACGCACACCACACATACCACACACACACACACCACACACATACCACACACACACCACACACATACATACACACACACACATACACACACACACATACCACACACATACCATACACACACACACACATACCACACACACATACCACACACACACATACCACACACATACACACACATACACACACACCCACATACCGCACACACCACACATACCACACCACACACACATACCACACCACACACACACACACATACCACATACACACCCACATACCGCACACACACCACACATACCACACCACACACACACACACCACACACACATACATACCATACACACACACACCACACATACACACACATACCACACACACACATACACAAGCGACCCCCGGGGGGGTGATGGGGTGATGGTGATGGGGTGGGGGTGATGGTGATGGGGTGGGGGTGATGGTGATATGGTGATGGGGTGGGGGTGATGGGATGGGGGTGATGGTGATGATGATGATGATGATGGTAATGATGATGATGGTGAGGTGATGGGGTGGTGATGGTGGTGGTGATGGGGTGATGGTGAGGTGATGGTGTGATGGTGAGGTGATGGTGATGGGGTGATGGTGATGGTGTGATGGTGATGATGGTGATGGGGTGATGGTGAGATGGTGTGATGATGATGGTGATGGGGTGATGGTGATGGGGTGATGGTGATGGGGTGATGGTGATGATGATGGTGATGGGGTGATGGTGATGATGATGGTGTGATGGTGTGATGGTGATGATGATGGTGATGGTGATGATGATGGTGATGGGGTGATGGTGAGGTGATGGGGTGATGGTGAGGTGATGGTGATGGGGTGGTGATGGAGTGATGGGGTGATGGTGATGGGGTGGTGATGGTGATGGGGTGATGGTGATGGGGTGATGGTGATGGGGTGATGGTGATGGGGTGATGGTGATGGGGTGATGGTGATGGGGTGATGATGATGGTGATGGGGTGATGATGGTGATGGGGTGATGATGATGGTGATGGGGTGATGGTGAGGTGATGGGGTGATGGTGAGGTGATGATGATGGGGTGATGATGATGATGGTGATGGGGTGATGGGGTGATGGTGAGGTGATGGGGTGAGGTGATGGGGTGATGATGATGGTGATGGGGTGATGATGATGGTGATGGGGTGATGGTGAGGTGATGATGATGATGGTGATGGGGTGATGGTGAGGTGATGGGGTGAGGTGATGGGGTGATGGTGAGGTGATGATGATGATGGTGATGGGATGATGGTGATGGGGTGATGGTGAGGTGATGATGATGATGGTGATGGTGTGATGGTGAGGTGATGGGGTGATGATGATGGTGATGGGGTAATGGGGTGATGGTGATGGGGTGATGATGATGATGGTGATGGGGTGATGGGGTGATGGTGAGGTGATGGGGTGAGGTGATGGGGTGATGATGGTGGTGATGGGGTGATGGTGATGATGGTGATGGGGTGATGGTGATGGTGTGATGGTGACAGTGTGATGGTGATGGTGTGATGGTGACAGTGTGATGGTGATGGTGTGATGGTGACAGTGTGACGGTGATGGTGTGATGGTGATGGTGATGGTGTGATGGTGAGGTGATGATGATGATGGTGATGGGATGATGGTGATGGGGTGATGGTGAGGTGGTGATGGTGAGGTGATGGTGTGATGGTGAGGTGATGGGGTGATGGTGATGATGGTGATGGGGTGATGATGATGATGGTGATGGGGTGATGGGGTGATGGTGAGGTGATGGGGTGATGGTGAGGTGATGATGATGATGGTGATGGGGTGATGGTGATGGGGTGATGGTGATGGGGTGATGGTGATGATGATGATGGGGTGATGATGATGATGATGGTGATGGGGTGATGGTGATGGGGTGATGGTGATGATGATGATGGGGTGATGATGATGATGATGGTGATGGGATGATGGTGATGGTGATGATGGTGTGATGGTGATGGGGTGATGATGGGCTCACTCGTCGTGCCCTTTGCACAGGTAGAAGAGGAGCCTCCAGGCCTGGATGGCCGACAGGGCGAGAGCGAAGAGGCCCACGAAGCTGGTGAAGCGACAGGCGGCGGCGGGGCCCCACTCCTCCACCACGAAGCGCTGCTTCTCGGCCGTGATGTTCTCGTCCTGCCACAGCCCGCGGGTGAACAGCAGACACCGGCCCCGGAAGGCGCTGCCGTTCTCCCACAGCGGCACCACCGCCACCAAACCCGACAGGAAGGCCGCGAGGTACAGGAGGCACTGGACGAAGAGGAAGTTATTCATCGCCGTCATCTTTTTCTTCCCTCTCTCGTTCTCTCGCTGCTCCTCCATCGATGGCCAGGACCTGCCCCGCCCCTCCCCCCACACACACAGCCAACCCCCCCCCACACACACACACACACTCCCACACACACACACACACACACACAGCCAACCCCCCCCCCACACACACACACACAGCCACCCCCCCCCACACACACACACACACAGCCAACCCCCCCCCCCACACACACACACACAGCCAACCCCCCCCCACACACACACACAGCCAACCCCCCCCCCACACACACACACACTCCCACACACACACAGCCCCCCCCCCACACACACACAGCCAACCCCCCCCCCCCCCCCCCACACACACACACAGCCAACCCCCCCCCCCCACACACACACACACTCCCACACACACAGCCCCCCCCCACACACACACAGCCAACCCCCCCCCCACACACACACACAGCCAACCCCCCCCCCACACACACACACACACACAGCCAACCCCCCCCCCCCCACACACACACACACACAGCCAACCCCCCCCCCACACACACACACACACAGCCAACCCCCCCCCCCCCCCCCACACACACACACACACACAGCACCACACACCCACACCCACACACTCCCAAACACACACACCCACAATACCCCCCCCCCCCCACACACACACACACACACAGCCCCCCCCACACACAGCCCCCCCCACACACAGCCCCCCCCCCCCACACACACACCCAAAACACAGCACCACACACACCACCACCACCACACACAACACACAAACTCCAAAGTCTGCACAACACAGCACCACACACACACACACACACACCCCACACACACAACACACACACACACAACACACACACAAGCCCCAAAGTCTGCACAACACAGCACAGCACCACACGCACACAAACACACGCCTGCGCGCAAACACTCACACACACACTCTCTCTCTCCCCCTCACTGATGTCTGGTCAGCAATGACCCCTTATGACTGTGTCAAAGCATCCACCCCATCCCAGCACTACTGTGGGCAGCTGAGTCTTTTATCTGATTGTCAAAACTATATCCCTTCCCTTCCCACTCCCCCTCCCCACTCCCCCCCCCCCCCCCAAAAAAAAAATGTACATAAATATATATATATGAATAAATAGCAGTAGGGATGATTGAAGTCCATCCAGAGATTCATCAATGCATCTTAAGTGGCAACTTCATGAGCGTGTGAGAGAGAAGGAAAAAGAGGGGTGTGGGTGGGTGGGAGGGTGGGTGGGAGGTAGAATGGTTGGAAACCCACGGGGAGTATAAACACTAGCGGTTGGGCCGAACTGCCAGTTTCAGTGCTAAGCGTTACGTGCGCATAACATGTATATGTTCCTTGAAGGTCTGCAGAAAGGGTCAGGTAGAGTGTTACTTTTCAACAGCAACAACAGCGTGCATTTACATGGTGTCTTCACGTGGGGTCGCGGCTCGGAGCATGTTAAACATAATCCATAATCTGTGCTGTAATGATACTGGATGATTGTTATTATTCTGATGGTTTCATTTTGGAATATCCAGTCTTGGAAACCCAACTTGGTAATACCAATGGCTCCAAGTGATTATTGCTTAGCATCCAGTAAATAATAAGCCATAGGCTGTTTGTTTAATGTACCTACAATACTTATTCTATCCTCTAGTATTTGACAATTTAAAAAAAACCTTTTAATCATCCCTGCATTTGATATACAGCACCTTATCACATCTTAAACTATAAAGTTTAATGACTGTATTTTGTAGATGAACACAACAGCCAATTTGCATACAGAAATGTCCTACACACACTCATGAAGTGAATGACATATTACAGTATATCTGCACTAGAGTGTCAGCCTGGACCGTGAACTCAAAGTCCCAATTTACATTTGAACGCTTTACCTTAGAAAGCACAACACACCATCCCTCAGCACAACCAAAATATTCCTTGGACTAAACTTTATGAGAAATTAAAGGGACCGGTAGTAAAAATACAATTTACAATATGATTTCACTTATATAGCACCTTTCACATCGGGAGGATGTCCCAAAATGCTTAACATTTCTGGCTGAAATTGCACCTTCATATATTCTTAAATTGATGCTAAGTATTTTTAATCCCTCAAATATAGTTTCTAAAAAGTTTGCTGAAGATTGGTTTGCATTGGTGCCAATGGAAGATGTCTCCAAGTGAAATCATTTTAGTTTGTCTGGTTACCGGCAGGGCGAAACCATGGGCAAGTTCCTTACGCCACACACCTGATAATAATCCTTCAACTTGTTACCAATTTCACCGTGGGTCAGTCAGACTCCGAATGAAGACTCTTGATTGGTTTCATAGAGAAGAAATGCTGTGTGGCTGCGCCTATCTAGGATTTTTTATGATTTTTGTCATTATTTTGTCGGAGTGGTTTGTACTATCATCCGAGTGTCAAGATCTATGACAATTGTTGCGGAGTCCTGTAGCTCAGTGGATAGAGCACTCGCCTCACAAGTGAGAGACCTAGGTTTGATTCCCGGCAGGACAAAATTTCCTTACTCCACACCGGTTGTTAGTCGATTGGCGGATTTCTTTTCTGGGGATAATAATCCTTAAAAAAAAACAATAATAATTTGGTCACTCAATCATTGACTGTTTGTGGGACACTGCTGCGCACAATTGGGTGCCATGTTTCGCCCACAAAATATACAGTCTTTACAATATATTCTGTGAAGTGCTTTGAAACATCTAGAAGACGTGAAAAGCCCTACATCAAATGCAAGGATTATTTATTATTATTACTACTGTGTGGAAAAAAATAAACCATGTCAACTATGGTTTACATCGGAATATATCTGTCTATCTCTTGGGTTGTACCTCTTTTCAGACTGGAAATTGATCAGTTCTATAATTACCAAGCACAAGGAACTGTCCTCGTCCTCTATTAAGTCACTGATCCAGGATTAAATAATCCAAGTATTCACTGCATCCACTCCTTCAATCTACTGTCAGTTCAGAAGATATTGAAATCAGGGTTGTCAGACTCCTGACAACGCTTTTGTAATCATGGAATATGTGTTTGTTCAGATTGAAGACATATCTATCTGCAGTTTAAGATGATGTTGATGCTGTCACACAATTGGTTGCAATACTTTGGAACTTGACCAAAATAATCAGTTAACACAAGGTTGAATGTTGAATTGCATTAATTTGCACCAGTATCCAAATATCTGATAAGTATTTTACAAATGTTGAAACCATTCGCCCCCAAAATTTACAGTCAATTCACTTCACACTTTACTGTGAAGCGCTTTGAGATGTCTCGAAAACATGATAAGGCGCTATATCAAATGCAAGGATTATTTTTATTATAATACGATACAAGCTTCTTCTTTGCTTATTCTGTAAGGACAGTGTATAATCCATTACAACTATTGTGTCAAGCAGTCCTTGAACATGTGCGTTAAAGATAACTGTTACAGCCAGCAAATTAAATCAGCTACATTGTCAGTGGATTAGAAAATGAAATTGGTAACAAGTTGATAGGAGATGCACAATTATGTTATAACACTATCTGGTTTATGAAAGAGTAAGTTTCTGCTCTGCCAAGTGCATAAGGATTAACTGTTGCAACTTCTTATCTAAAAGCAAAGCGCTGCAAAATAAACACAGCTTCAATTTATATGATTCTAATGACTAGACGTAGCAGCTAAATGATTACATTTCACTGTCATGAAATAAGTAAATCTGAAATAGAATTAATTTGATTAGCCTCAATCCCATTTCCATGTTATCGCATAAAACTGCCCAGAATTCTGGACTACCAGTGGTTGATTCAGGAGGTGGAAATGCCCTGCTATAGAATAGACGTACTCTCCTGAGAATAGACTGTTAGGTACTGCTTTGTAAAGAATGCTTAAGCTGACATGCTTGTTGCTGACAGTGTTTACTGTCTTGTGCAGCAATGATATTCACCGCTTTGATAAATATAAAAATTCCAGTTTTTTTAAAACCCACAAATAATAACCGAAGTGGTGATTGAACTAAATAATACATACATAATCCATTGCAAGTATTCACCAAAGTTTTGGTGCAAGTGTTGAACACTAAAATTGATTTTCTTTTAATATTATCAAAGAACATGTCATGTAATATTACAAACTATCTGTTCATCGTTCCCAAGCAGGTCACTGGGTAGTACAAAAGCTTTGAGTAGACATTGGGAAATGAAATTGTTTATGGAAACACCTCCTTCAAATAATGGGATTAGGACTGTCCGAACCTTCTGCTACTGTTGGTGACAAATCCACATCAAAATTGCTGCCATAAGTAGCCAAACATGGAGTGGAAACACAACACAAGGAGCACCAGTAAAATTATCGATCACTAAATGTGCTTTTATGGGGAACAGCAGAATTTTCTAAAGGCAATAAACAATCAATGAGAAATATTCAATGAGTGGGGAAGATTGTTGGACGTTTGATTGCTTGACAGTTCACATGATGTAGCAACAACTCAATGTCAGTGGCATTTGCAGTTTAGTTCTTCACCGTTGAATCGATCTGAAGCTCTTTCTTTTTTCTGATAATTTTGGCAACATCATTCTTCAGTTTACCCACACAAGTTTCGAGCTCTCCTCCCATCTCTTTGATCAGCTCAGTTCTTTCATTTGCAAAGTACCTCAAGGAATGAATATTACCTTCATCCTTAAATTTAAAAAAAGAACTCTGATTAACTGACCTCACCAAAACGTTTTCACGTTGTGTGGTATTTGTGCCTGAAAAAGCCTTCCAGAACATTGACCTATGTCAAACCCATCAGAATGACAGAAGCAATTGAGTGCAAATGTAGTTCTGCAGTAAAAAAAGATAGGGTAAATAGCATGTGTGAATTAAGTAAAAGTTCTGAATAAAATTAACAGCAAATGTACATACAGAAATAAAGCAATTTAAAGGCTGGGTGGAAAGAACATTTCCCTTTATTTTGTGGGGCTTCAAACAAAAACTTCAAAGCACCAGTCTTGCTTGTTAATTTTGGTCCATCGCTCTAACTTCTGTGCTCACAATCTAAATCAAATAGGCTGTTCACATCTACCTTAACTATGCAACCCTGTTCGCGTAACTTGGAATCTCCTCTGAACTCTTTCCATTGCACAAATGCCCTTTGGAAAGTAGGGTGGCAAAACTCCACAGGATGTGGCTTCATGAGTGATCCAAGTAAAGCTAGAATAATAATCTGACTTTGTGGTACTGTGAAGAATTCTAAATAATGAAGAGTCATCCATTAGCAGAATCTCCTGAAATTCTGTCCCATTTACACACACTAGCATTGGAGCTAAATATACTATCCAGAGGAAAGCCAAGCCCATTTTCAAAGACCCTCAAGATGGAATCTTGTGGTTAATTATTTTTCAATTCATTATTTAATTGAAATCATTTCTGCTATAGGAGCTCTTCATCGCACGTATATCTTCACTATTTTCTGATCCAATATGCAACACAGTACTTCATACTTTTTGTTTAATTGTGTCTTGGGCTTCTATTGGGAATATTATTATATATTCAATAGCGTTTTTAGTGTTTTGACTGTATCATATTATTACTTTTGGATTGTATTTATTTTAACAACTATTTGCAACAAAGGCATTTTTGCCAACCTGAAATTATTCCTTTCAATGTTTTTTTTTTCCTGAAGACAAGAAAGTGAGGCACAAGGGACTTCAAGCAGTGCAGGGTTGCCGTTAAGCCTACGGCGCAAGGGCAGTAATAAACAGATGCAAATGAATTCTCTCTTACCAGTGGCCTGATCTCATTCAGGTGGATCAGTCTCCCTCTCGCTCCACTCATGCTGAAGTAGAACGCCTTGAGTGCTTTTGCAAACTCAGCATCCCAGTTGGGAAATGGTGACCTTTGGTTGGATCTATCGTCAGTTAATTTCGCTGCATTCCCGCACGCAACTAGGGGCACAGATTTAAGGTAATCACAAAAGGAATTAAAGAAGGGTGACAAGAATAAAATCTTTACTCAGAGAACAGTTGGGACTGCAATTCTCTGTCACAAACTATTGTCGGGGCAGAGTTCATAAATTATTCAAAAAGCAAATTACAGTAGATTGATACTTGAAAAAAGAGGAATATGAAAGAGTACGGTGTCTAAGCAATAGAGCGGGATTAGATTGCATTACTCAAGTGGAGGAAACACTAGCACAGTCATGATGGGTCAAATGGCCCTGTTTCTGTGCTGTAATATTCTGAGATTCTGTAATGAAACGTTAAGATTTAATTGAGTGCAAAAGATTGAGTAAAAGATCCAGCGCTAAGCAAAGCACGCAATTGACACTAACTGCTGCTACCGTTGTCTGAGGCAAGTCTTCTCAGTTCTCCTGCTTTCTCTCGCATTTCAAAGTTGTCACTTTTTAAGATTCGATTTGCTTCTGTCAAATTTGCAGCTTCCTGCTCCAGCGTTTCGATTTGCTCAGACAGCTCGAGTCTGTGCTCTTCGTAATCCTGCATTTTTATAGACAGCAAAGGATGTTCAATGCGTTGGATTGTGAGGGATTTTTACCCTCGCTGCCCTTTCATCAGCAGGAAAGATGTAAATCATTAATGGTATGAACGCAAACACTGGGCAACACAGCTCCAGTGTGAGCAGCCTATGTTTTGGAAAGTGAATATAAAACAAAGAGGAACAAGCTGAAAGCTACCAAATTACTTTATATTAAAGGAATTCAACATACCAGCGGCACAGATGTCTGTTGGTTTCTGTAGCACAAATCTAGTAGAACACTCCCATCACTTGATAGTGGGATGCCATCAAGTATTGTATCCATTTCTTGGCAGCCTTCTGATATAATGATGTTTGTCATCTATTAGCTTTGTGCATACACTCTCTCACCCAGAAACATTTCATTTTAAAGAGGCAACAAATCTTCATGAAAAGAAACTTGGTAAAAAGAATGGGATAAAACATGCTTTTTAAGTGTTTCTTAACCCATTGCTGTATTAATTGAGGATCACTGAAAATGTTACTCCAATATTCATAGAAATCCCAGAAATGTGTTACCTGAAAATTCTTCATCAAAAGTGTTTTTGTCTTGACAAAAAGATCCAACAACTCTTTTTTTGATAAAGTAATTGGTGTAAGTATTTTCTGTAAAACATCTGACTGTCACTGCCAATGCACATACCTTGGAGGCCCCACATTTGCAAGACGAGTGCGTGGGTTTTCAGATAGCTGAGGAAATCGGTGGTAACATGTTGAACAGTGAAGTGTATTGAATAATCCAGATCAGGGTTTGTGTTACTCCAGGCAGCAGGGGTATAGAATACTGTAGGAAGGCCATACAGCACAAATCTACAACACACAGATCATCACACTACAAGTTTGAGGGATGCCAGTGAGGGACTTTCAATGATGTTACGATAACCGTTAATTGTGATGCTTTATACATGTTTATGATGGCTTGTAAGAGAGATAGATAGATACTTGGGTATTCAGAGGTATGGTAAAAGATCTGTTGGACTGAATGGCCTTGTCCTGTTCTTATGTTGACTACTGATACTTCAGTCTCCTTCAAGTTTCTTGTAAATACTGTAGATAGTACAGGGATTTGATGTAACATCACTGAGAAATGTATGTAAGATGGAAGGTCTAATATTGTAGATTTAATACTCTACCATGCAGAGTTTTGTAGATTCTGTCAAAAATCTCAAATGTGATCATTTGTTGGACACTATAGGTTTCTGCTTATGAGTGACTTAGATCTGTAGAACTAAGATCTATCACTGTATTGCAGAGATTATATTTATATCAGAGTTTTTAACCATGATAGTTTCTGTCAAATTTCTATTTATGCAATTTTAAACATTAACCTTCCAACACAAACTGTGGAGTGTGATAAGCAGCAAATCAACACGACAGGAGAGAAAGCTACATTGATTATCAAAGCAGCAAGACTGGAGTTTTTGGAATCTTTTCCTAGGCCAGTGTTGATGTTGACAATAGTTTCAAATGAAAGCAGTGACTCAAATAGAAGCTGGATTTACAAAGAATAAAAGGTAATTCCTGGATTTAAAGCACTATTGTGTAGGCTCTACATGGTCTTTAGAAGGGTGATCTTATAGGTTGAACAGCCTTTTTTCATTCCATGTTTCCTAATATTGTTAAACAATTCTTGAAAGACTTTAAAAGTAAATGCATAGACCTTAGCTACAATAATAAATAAGCTAACAGTAATTAAATCATGAGAGATGTGCATTAATGATTCTCCATAGATTGCAACACCTCAACAGGTCAGCACGAATTGATTTACTGAGGGAAGCCATATCATTTGCAGTTCAGATTCAATTTGGTTGGGCCTTTTAGTGAACAGACCAGAAGAGGAACTTTCACATGAAAATGATCAATGGAGAATAACGGCAGACTTCCATGAAACAAATAACATCTTTCAGTTTTCTATAGTTATTACTATGTCTTCACGAGGCCAAGTGAAAGAGCGCATCATGGTGCTAACAGCTTGAGCCTGATGTTGAGTCAGCCCTGCTAATTGGATTGAAACCTCAGGTGTTCTGAGCCATTTGCAATGCCCCTGGCAGTTTGAGATAAAAGCTGGGATTTCTCACCCAATTTGAACTCCTCTACTGCTGTTCTCGCGGATCCATCTCACTCCTAAACACAGACTAATCTGCATTTGAAAGTCCATGCGTTTCCCCAGAAGATTATCAGGATCAACAACGACAGATTCCTCTCCCAATGGACTAAACAAAGAGTACACACACATCGAATTAGTTTCCTTTCCTCCTGTAATTGCAGCCTCTCGCGAGTGCTCATGTTCAAGAGACTGCAAAGGGTGTTTTCTCCACCCATATTGTTGTGAAATTGTGGTAAATAGAAACATGTTGTTGTATAACAGGCATCTTATTCACAGAAAATAGAAAGAATTATAAACATTTAATGTACTGTACACAGTACGCTATAGAATCACAAACATACAATATAAATATATACATCCTGCAGATGTACTTCATTTTATTGTGATGAATCAATTGATTTGTTTGATTTATTAGCTGGCAGAAAGTGACATTCTGCCCCACATGTAGGGGGAGAGAAATTCCACCAGGGTCTAGATTTACTTAATTTATGTAGAATTTGGCAAATTGTTGAATTCAGTTGTAACTTTCAAAAGTGCTTAGAGAAACATGACTTTATTTTAAAGCTGTAATTCAGAATTTGCCAATTTCTGGACTCTCTAAAATGCTACAAAGACTATATCTACACACCATTGGAATTTCTTCACAGAATGGCCATAAGTACAATGTCAACCTCTGTTAACTTGTCTTGATCTCGGAGTTTAGGCAACCATAAACTGATTCATTGTAATATTATTCTCACTATAATGTACTCACACAACAATTTGCTGTGTGCAAATTGGCTGCCATATTTGCCTCACAAAATACAGTCACTACACTTGCAGTAAATCCTGCCGAGTACTTTGAGATGTCCTCACAATGTGAAAAGCTCCGTATCAAATGCAAGGATTATTATTTCTTCATAACTGGTGGCCGTTACATGAATTATGTAATTTCATAAATATATTTTCAAGTTTGAATTTGGCTCAGCTTCCACAACGTATCTTAATTTGTCAGAAATGAAAATTGAAACAACAAAATATAAGGCAACATGAAACATGCAGCCAAACAGCCAAATGCGAAAATGAATAGTTCTAGTTATCATTATGACACCTACGAAGGGCTATGAACACTCTCACAGCTACAATTTTCTACCAAGTGAATACTTAGTTTGCCCTGAATACACATTTACTATATTTATAGCACACATTCACATTATCCTCTCGTTCCCATACAGCTGCTCTTATATGGATTCATAATTTAATCGTGTTTTTATGTAAATACTTAAGAAGGTTATAAATCTACAGCATATGTTTTGTACAAATGTAGGAATAGTTCTTTTATGGCCCTCCGACTCACCCTCTCCCTCCTCTCGTTCAAGGCCTGTCTCAGAACATATAGTACTTCTTTGACCGTGTTTCCTGTCACCTTCCCCTGCCCTCACACGCCCCACAGCTCCCATTCCTAGCTTGGGTGCCCTGCCTGCATTGTCAAGCACTTTGCGACATCCTCCTGATGCGAAAGGTTTTAACTAAGTTTAAACTGTATTGTATTAGTTGGGTTTCATCCTTAAGCAATGTCCTGCAGAAGGCAATATGCGTAATATGACAGGGAGTGTTCTGAAGAGGGATAAATCTATTGAGAAGAAGGTGTTTTTTTTCTTTGCAGTGAGCTTGTCTTGAGCTGCCAAATAAAGACTATACATCATGCTCTCAATCCACCTGGCCTTTCAAATGTCTTAATTTGGATTCAGGGGATCCAATTTTTTCCCTGATTGTTTGTCCCTGCAGACAACACATGATTAAAATCATGTCTAAGCTTGTTTAGGCATGCTCACAAGAGGGCCCTGGCCAGTTCAGTCTTGATTCCTATTTAAAGCATATTTTCTTTCATCCAAAGCACATTTCCCTAACAACAACAACAAGATTATATTTGTATAGCGTCTTTCACGTCGGAAGGAGGTCCCAAGACGCTGGACAATGTACAGCATTTCAGACCTGAGCTGAGGTCGGGGGAGAAGGGTGGGGAGGGGAAGAGGGGTGGCCGATGGCACGGTCGAAGAGGATCTTAAGGGGGGACTTGAAGGAGGGTAAGGGGTGGGGCGAGGCGGAGTGATTGGGAGATGGAATTCCAGAGATTGGGGGCAGAGTGGCTGAAGGCTCTCCCTCCAATGGTGGGTCGGGGATGCGCAGCTGGCCGGAGCCGGCTGAGCGAAGGAAGCAGGCGGGTTGGTAGGGGGTTAGGGTGGGGTGAGGCCATGGAGGGCTTTGTAGGTGTGGACCAGGATCTTGAACTGGATCCTCTGAAGGAGAGGGAGCCAATGGAGTCGGGCGAGAATGGGGGAGATGGGGTCACAGAGTTTGGTGCGGGAGAGAACACGGGCTGCAGAATTCTGGATTATCTGCATCCTGTGGAGGGAGGAGTTAGGAAGGCCATTTGCATAGTCGAGCCTGGAGGTGATGAAGGCATGAACAAGAGTTTCAGTGGCCTGAGGGGTGAGATAGTGGCGGAGTCGGGCAATGTTACGGAGGTGAGGGAAGGCAGAGCAGGTCATGGCTTGGATGTGGGGAAGAAAAGACAGTTGAGGGTCGAACAAGACACCTAGGTTCCTGACTGGCTTGGTGAGTTGAAGTGTGCAACCATGGAGGTTGATGCTGCCAGAACCTGAGGTGCAGAGATGAGACTGTATTTAGAATATTGCGTGCAAATTTGAGCACTCTACTTTTAGAAGGGCATTGCTGCATTGAAGATGGACAAGAGGAGACTGGAGTCTTGAGCTTAGGGAGAGACTTGCAGAACTGAATTTATTGGAAAAGTGATTCAGAGGGGAACTGTGACAGAGATATTTAAAACAATGAGAGGTAGAAATGATACAGATGTAAGCAATCATCTGACTCAAAGGAAACTGCAGAGTTGGAGGACACGGGTTCAACATGAATGTGCCTCAGACAAGATCAGATATTATTTTAAGTCACGTGTAGTGGATATGTGAAACAGACTGGCAGAAGAGCAATTGACGCTGTGATGATTAAGTCCTTCAAGAAGAGTTATATAAATATTCGTTTGGAGTAGCATTGAAGGATACATGGATGCGTTCTTGCTGAAATAATAATAATCCTTCCATTTGATATAGCGCCTTATCACATCTTCGAGAGGTCTCAAAGCGCTTCACAGAATATACTGTAAAGTGGAGTGACTGTGTATTTTGTGGGTGAAATGTGGAAGCCAATTGGCACAGCAGTGTTCCACAAACAGTCGTGGATTGAGTGACCACATTATTATTTGTTTGAAGAATGATCGAATGCTCAATGGTGTTCTGCTGCTGGAAGCAGTGAAGTTGTTGCCTTTGGAGAGCAGCAGGTCACAGGGCTTTTGGCACAGATAAATCTTCTGGAGTTTCTCTTGATTAAATTTGGTGATTGTGAAATATATGGAACAAACTTCCCCTCGGGAGACTGCGTGGCTAAAGTGGAATATCTTTCGTTGTAGGTTTCTCGTTTGCCCACAAAATACACAGTCAATCCACTTTACAGTGTACTCTGCAAAGTGATTTGATATGTCTCAACGACATGATAAGGCACTATATCAAATGCAAGCATTATTATTACATGACCGGTGAAAGGAGTAAGTTTGATGAGCCAAATCTACTTATCTTATTGCATCCTTCTGTACTTACAATCCACTTCAATACTCCTATTATTTTAAAAACATGTTCAAGCATTCACTTAACTTGAGTTAGCGCTGTTACAAATCTGAATTATAACTGTGAGCTTACTTTCCACTGGTTGTGCAGGGCATCAGTTTGATCTGTATTAATGCTTCCTCCTTTCCTTGATAATTATTTATGTCCACCTGGTCTTCATAGGTCATAGAGTAGGCCAAAGATTCCAGCCACACGTGAGCACTGCAAAACATTCACAAAAGGAGTAGAAACAGACACCGGGACTAATAATAATAATAATAAAAATTGCACTATTAACTATTTCATTGCTAATGACTTTGTCAGTTTTAACCATGCAATGCTGAAGATCTAAGTCTATAAATATTGTGTTTTCTACAACTGACAGGGTAAAAGCAGAACTAAAGAAAAAGTTTTAACTAGTAGAAATAACAGTAAATAGGTTGAAGCAGATGGTAAAACAGACTAAATTCGGATTCTCACTGATGTACCTTCCGAGGTGCAACGGCTCGACAGGGTCCCAGAATACGTCTTCTTCCAGATCAGTCTGGGTGTCTCCATTTTCAAGAAAATGTTGGTAAGTTTCTTCAATCAAAGGCATTCGATCAGTGAACTTGTTCAGTAACCAGACTTCAACCTTGAAATAAACCAACAGTTGTTTTCATGTTTCCTCGCATACACACATACATACTCTTATACATACACACTGAACACAATCTGGTCTTTTCATATTTCTAACATATTCTTTGTTTTGCCTGACACTACTCAAATCACACATTCTAGTTGAAGAAAAAGATATTAAAAGTGTGATATTGGGGGTCTAGCATACCCCCAAGCAATAACACTCGTAAATTGGGAAATCCCATGCTAAACATGCATTGAAAGGTTCACTAGTGTTAATAGGTGATATGCGGTAGATCCCATTCAGACATTAACCCTACATCCATGATTTAGTTGGACAACAGTAATGTGAATGGAGTTTATTGCTTCTCGAAAAGACAAGCAAGTTTGTTCCATTATCCTGGCTCCCAAATAAAATTGATCATGCACTTCATGTCTGATTGTGGGATCTAGCTGTGGGCAAATTGGTGCCATCTATACCAATTACAGTCATTACACTTTACAGTAAATTTTGTGTAGTGCTTTCAAATGTCTTCCCAATGTGAAAGCCGTTATATCAAATGTAAAGATCATTATTATTATTGCATGCATTAATTCCTACTGAGCTGAGCTGACTTACCTGTTTGGTTAGTTTGTTTGTTACCTTCACAATAATTTCTTTTTCTAATTCCTCTCCCCTGGCATCAGTCAGTGCCAAGTTTTTTACCTCTGGTTCAAAGATAACACCCTTTGAAAGGACATAAACACAGTGGTATTTGTTAATGCATTCAATTGCTGCCCAGTCTCTTTTATCTTTACTCTCTTCCTCACTATGTGAGCCCAAACCCCATATAAAATACCAGGAAAATGAGCTTCTTCCAGACATCTCCGAAAGACAATGTTTAGCTATAGCTTGGCACATCCCCTATGATCTAACTGATATAGGGAATTGATATGTGGAGTTACATGAACATTTCCCTGTGAATGGAAATGCACACTCTCTCCCTGGAGACACACACCCAACGTACCTAATTCCAGAGAGTACAAGGCACAAGTTGGCAAGAGCCAAGCCTTGAGGACCCCAGAGGCCATACTGCTGGAGTTTAATCAGCTAAAACCTCATAGCTTGCCACTGAAAGCTATATGGCAAGCTGCTTGTCCAACTAGGATCAGCTTGGCCTGGTTAACAGGAGACAAGTAGGAAGAAGCCCTGCCCCCAGTGATGTGTCATTGTAAATTGCCTGAGTTTAATGTTCTGAATCAGCACCAGACTCACCTCTGGGGCAGGTTTTGTTCCTACACTGAGTTCCTTGGTGCTCCCAGTGGTATTAATAGGGAAAGTGTACTTAATCTACACACACAGATTTAATTAATAAGCTTTCACCAGTACACCAGGTCTTAGCATAATCATGGCATTAACAAATTAGAGTCAAAGACCCTTTCTGAAATGATAACAAGAAATGAACAAATGTACCTTGTTAAGTTCCTCACTTATTTGGTTTGCCCAAGTCACTGAAGGCATGATTGAGATAAAATCATGGACAATTCTTGTCAAATTAGGATCCAGATTTTCTTTCTGCTTTCCAGCTGCCACTGAAAAAAATGGGAGGCATTTATTTTGTTAATAGATAAAAGCAATTATTCAACAATAATGAAAAAAAGAACAGCAAGATAATAGAGAACATTTGAAAAGATAACTGATATCTGCAACCAGAGGAAAATTAAATACAAAAAGGTAGTTTTGCTCCATGCTCTTTAGCTGGTTAGAGCCAGGAACTTCAGACATAAAATGACCAGAACAATATTTTTAATAATAATTAATCATTTTTAAAGAATATTAAAGAACACATTTCGTTATAGATTAAAAATCCAAAAGACATTGGGTAGTCAAAGGGATAGAGTTTGATTTGGTACATCAAAGGTGCTATACAAATATAATTTTGTATTGTAATTTTGTATTGTATGTTTGCAGTAGCTATAAGATAGTTTGTACTGCTCTATTACTGGTAATAGACTCTCATGTTCTGATGAAAGAGACTCTGATTCTGTGCTGAGCTAAATAGGACTGTTCAATGGGTATAAACACCAATGACTAGTTGGTCTGAATGGTCAGTTTTAATGATGTACATGTACTTTGTAATTCTATACATGTTGGCTTTTGGAATGCCACAAGGAGAGGCAGATCAGTGTTTTTTTGTCTCTGACAAAAGTAGAAACCATTTGATGTGCAACCCCCCTGGGCCAGAATCGGCAATACCCTGTTACTCAAACACAATTGTAAACTAATGATATTCCATTCACTAATATTTGGTAGGACATTGAATGCAACTGATTTTTTGAGGTGAGCCAGGTATTTCCCATTCATCCCCACTAAGCCAAATTGAACCTCATTAGGTTCCACAATTGCCTCCCCCCCAAGGCCATGCTTATCCCCACCCAAGTCTGAGTCTCTAATCATCAAAAGACAACATTGACCTGATTCCTTGCATCACGCCCATTCGAGCAAGTCAACAGATAGTAAACAAAGGAATGTGAGCTTGGTTCCATTGAAAGCTTTGTCCTTAGGAGGCTCAATATTTATTTACTTGTCTCCCTCCCACTCACCTTCCTTTATTTCTACTCTGTCATGGTTGCTCACCTCCATGAATTCTTGTTACAGCTGGCAGGGCAGCTGAACGGCCCATGGATTCTTCCATGACAGCTGACGCCAATGATGCTCTAAGACTCATCTGACAGAAAATGCAGTAACTGAGAGATGAGACAGTCAAATGTGTCAGAGTGATTTTCCCCCCATTTGGCAGACTGAAGTGTCAGCACTCGGGCCCAGAACCACAGAGCTGTGAAGCAGAGGTTTGTAATCTTTCTGGTGCTGGTGCCAACATGAGAAGTCAGAGTCTGCTTTCATTCACAGACATCACAGCCCATCACCTGTAGGTCACCAGTTACCCCATATAATGGATAACTAGCCGCATCTCGAAAGAGATTTTAAATGGATGTTGTATGGAAGTATGACAAATAAGACCATTTTAGGATCTGAATACTCATTGCAATTGTCTATTTATCTAAATCAAATAAACAAGAATGTACTTAGTAATAATAATAATAATAATAATCCTTAGAATAAGATCATAGTCAGTAGGGCTTGTTATTTGATGGTAACAAAAGCTCAAGTCTCCCAGGTTTTCAAGATAAATGACAGGACAGTATTAAAAGAATGCTCACCTATTCTTCACCTTTTAAGTTGGGTGAAATATGTTGTATTTATAAACTAAGAATGCTGTATAATGTTAATTCTTTGTTGCACTTAAAATGGAGCATACCTGGGTTCACTTGTCCAAGTCCTTCATTCGATGCAAGTTCAGAAGCAAAATATTCATAATTGTATTTGTGGATTTTATCTCTGTTCCTTCTTTCATTTGGGAAACCCACGTATAAGTAGAATGAACTGGAGCCCAATATAACTCTGTCCTATACAAAGGAAGACAGGACTGTGATCCGCTATAATAATAAACTATTACAATACTTCAGCTAACATAACTTACAAATTGCTATGTCTTCTAAAAATGTGTGCATACAGAATTGGTTGAAAATATATTATAACACTGAATAGCACGAAGATGAAAAACTTTCACATTTTAATTGAACTATAAATGAATTGGTCACCACTTATTGTGCTTCAAGTTAGTTAGTTACTCCATTGTCAATTAAACTGCCTCTACACTCTCGTAAAAATGCAAACATATGGCTCAGCAATTTCTTAGAAATATCAGACTATTTTGTTTTGAATTTAATAAAGTTGTAGAATCATGTTACATTCATGCATGAATGCATCTAAGTACATGTATGTCCATTGCTTACCAAATGCCGTAGCTGATATTTTGTTAGAAGCAGCAAGCCATTGATGATAACTCTGGCTTTGCTTTGAGGCTCAATTCCAACTTTCTGATCAGAAACTGTAAGCACTGCATGTTTATCCAGAATGCTGAAAAATACAAAGTATGAAATTTAAAGTTAAGTCAATCAACTTAGGCTCAACACACTTTGTGCGTGTGCCATATAATAATAATAATAATCCTTGCATTTGATATAGCGCTATTCACGTCAGGAGGACGTCCCAAAGTGCTTCACAGAACACACTGTAAAGTGAATTGACTGTATATTTGTGGGCGAACGTGGCAGCCAATTGCGCACAGCAATGTCCCACAAACAGTCGTAGATTGAAAATGACCAATATATTATTGTTTGGGGTTTTTTGGAGGGATTATTATGTTCTTAAAGAATCTGCAAATCTTTCACAGGAAGGTGGCTCTGTAATTTTCTGCAGTAAGTGACCTTGGATTTAATGTCAGCAGAGATGGTAAGGGAGATTCTTCTTCACAGAGAGATGGGAAACTCCAGCCCGTTAACAGTGCACAACAACTTGCACCCAAGAAAGGAACAGAAACTGGCAGAAGGCTGGAAGATGGTTACTTGTCCATAAATCTCAGGTGGGGAACAGTGTTGGGGAAAGAAAGCCATGAAGAAAACTGAAAAAAAGATTAATAAGCAAAGAACTGAAAATCAAATTGTGAGCCATTGCAAATCAATTCGTACATATATTGCTGAAGATGTGGAATTTTCTACCTAAAGTAAATTTTTTTGTCTGCATCTCTTTACTCCACAAACTGGCCAGATGGTAGACCAGCTCCCAGATCTCTGTCCATTCCACTCTGAGAGAACCCTAGGAGAGCAGCCTGTAAGGAATTCCTAGTCCATGGATTCACAGAGGTACAACTGAGATTGGTAGCTGTCCATGGTGCTAGATGAACCAGTGTCATATCATTCTAAGAAACAATATATTGGAACTTCAACCAGACACACTTGTCACAGCTGTTTAAGTGATCTGAGCTTAAGTTCTGGAAGCAATCTAGTCATGTCACTAGAAAATGGATCAATTGTCTTCTTTCCGCCTCTTAAAAAATGTTTATTCATAAAGTATAATTATATATTCAGTAAACTAAGGACGCTTCTTGTAATCAGAATTTGAAACAAAGTGAGTTCAATGCTGTAATAGCGAAACATCCTGTAGACGTTTCATTGCTCAGACCAAGCTTATTTGAATCTCAAATGAAGTTTTCCAAATTATTTAGAGCCCTCACCATCCAGCCTCCAAATGCTTGGTTCACTGCCGCTGAAACTTTTTAAATGGCAAAGATGAGAATTTTCTCACTATCAGTTAGACAGGCTGAGCAATTTAATCATTGTTTAATGAATTCAACAATAATTACACCTCTCGATCCAAAACCAACACTGATCATTCTCAGGCTTATCAGGATTCATGCAAATTTGAAATTTAACATCTACATCACAAATATTTTGTATTATCACAAGCAGTATCTCGGCTAATTTACAGTTATATTTATCCATACCAGATTCAAATAGTGAAGATAACCTGTCGTTCTTAAATTCATGCTTCAACACATACTCTCAGACCAGTCTCTTCACAGAAGCATTCAGAAGTGTCTACTTATCACAGATATATCTAGCATGCATCTGAGACATGTAGTGAGGTGTCAGAGGCACACTAAGTCAAAGGTCTCCATTCTGTGGAAGAATCATGCATTACAAAGAGAATTCTGTATGAAGTAAAGGATCATTAAACACTAGGAATAGATGGAAGTAACTTCCTACATCGCCTTTAATTGATTCGTTTTTTTATTTAATTTCATCATCTTTAAAAGTCATAGGAAATGCTGATTGACCTTGCTATGTGATTAAGGACTGGAGGGGGCAGATTTAATTGCACGTCACCATTACTTGAAAAAATGAAATGAAATGTAAATTATCAAACTTAATCAGTTACTTTAATGGACAATCATTTTTGACACATATGGAGTGCCAAATATATAAAGCTAAATAACTAAGATTAATAGCATACTCTTGGGGAGAAATCCTATTCTACTCTATTTCTGTAGCATTTCAGAGAATTTGGTAAATTGTTGAATTCAGTCTCAACTTTGATATCATTTCATCTTGTAGTGCTTAAAGAACTTACAGAAAACTGGTTTCAAAATCAAGGTTATATTTAAGAATTTTCCAAATTCCAGATAGTTTGAAATGCTACAAAAAAAGAATAACTTTGAATCTGTGTGGAAATTCTCCCAGTTGGTATCTTATTACATTTTAAATGGCTTTCTTCTGAATGTTTCTGATGAACCTGTGCTCTACAGAAAGAACAACAGATAAGAGAACCAGTAATCAGAATTCACTTACCCAAGACCTTTCAGAACAATGTCCTGCTTCACAACGGATGTTTTTCCTATTGTGCAAATGCCTGCAATATTAAAATAATGCTCTGCTTTCAATAACCAGTATTTGCAGTAGTTGTAGACCATTATAATACGCTTCATTATAAGCTTCCTGCTCAGCTCTCAGCAAGAAGCCAACTAATTCATTTGCAAATTTCACTCGGTGATATGAACCACAGGGAATACATGCAAAAATCATTGCGAATAATAAGTTGCAAATCAATGCAATTCCGTTCACTTTCTTTTAACTGTTTCAGGTATAAACCAAATGTTTCAACACAACGCACTTGCAGAGCCAAACGAGAAAGATTCAGATTTTTTCACACAAACATGGGCTTAACTCTCAGTTGCAATTCAATGGCAATGGTATAATAAGATTAGACGGTTTGAAAACTGATCAGTGTTACCCATTGCACCATTAGTCATATGTGATGGAGTCTCCCTCATTCTCTTTGTCCTACCATTTTGAATAAAGTGTCGAACTACTCCAGACAGTTGTGGGTCTTCATTGACATTCAGCAAATAGGGAAACTCCACCATCATTTTCTCTTCCTGAAAATAAAAACACTCAAGTTTACTTCACTTCTATTTCACTGGATTTTAAGCAATAAAAAGGAAAATAACATGGTTAGTTTGACAAAAGATTACTCAAGTGTAAAGCATGAAAGAAGAATGATTTGGTTTCTAAAATTAGCACTTTATTATTTAAAAGATTTTCAGGTTCATTGTCGGAATCTTATTTTTCATAACTGGCAAACGCATGTTTCTGTTTGCTTTTGAGTCACTTAAATGTTGTCTTTGGGACATTCAAACTTTATCTTGTCAGCTCAAAGTTGATTGTAAACTTTTATTGGGGTAGCAAGTGAGCTTTTGAGCAAACATATAACTGAGCAATCTTTCCTGTAACTGTACCTCTTGAAGAATTTTTAAAGCAAATTAGTTCTGTTCCACTTCACAAATTAGATTTTTTTTTAAAAAGTGCCATTTTGCATTGGATTAACATCAATTAAAAGACTGCATGACAATATTAAATGGGATTCAAACCTCCAGGGAAGAGATGGATCTAAAACACACTTAATGTAATCAAGCTGCACAATTAGGAAAAATAAATAGTAAATCATGCACTTGGTATCTTGAGCAGAAATTCTTTTTGAAGATTAAATTGCAAAAATCACTCATCTTAAGTTAATGCCTAAAGTTACATTTCCTTGGGGGGAGTTCAACAGAGCTGAGTCTCTCCCCTTCTACCAGGAGGTAAAGCACCATCAATTATCAAATACTCCTCAGGCAATGCAGGGTATTATAGGATACTGGAGTCCAGGTTAAAATTGGACGTATCTCTCAAGTCTAATGGTCGATTAGCATTCCAATAAGAACATCTTTAAAATTCATGCATTATTGGTACCGTGTTTGATCTAGAAGAGGTATTTTTAATTTGCCTGATACTCAATATTAGAGGTTGTAAAATGAAATAAACCTAGAATATCCAATAGACCATATAAATGGAAAAAAGAGAGTGAATACCTGAATGATTACCTTTATAATGCTGGAATATTGTTGTTCCCATTCCCTCTTTGCTTCTTCCAACTTCTGTTGCCATGATTTCTGCATTTCTTTTAACCGTGTTTCATTATCCGCAATTAGTCTTCTAAGAGTCTCTAATTTCAAACGACACCATAATTGCTACTCATTTTTTCTAGTACTATATTGTCATTAATGATCATCAGAATAAGATATACATGACTGACTGAAAACAATAGCTGGGATAGTATATTTAAAGTAAACCTTCAAATATGCCAATACACTTCCAAAGGATTCTGTTTCTTAATTTATCATATTAGAAATTTTATGCAGGGTAAAGTTTTCATATGTAATTTCCAGTAAGCTTAGGCGAGTACAAATCTATTAACCCAAACTATCTGCTGCTAAAGTACTGTCAGACAGATATAGTACTAAGTACTATGGCACTGTACTATAATATTATTGGCAATAATCAGGAAGAAATATTACTGGAACATTTGAACACACAGTTCTGCCCAGCAGAATCCCTTGGAAAGGACAAAAATCACTAATGCTGCAATTATACTGCATAAATAGTGGTGATTCAAGAAGGATAACTAGCGCTGAAGTCCTATCACCTGAAGGAGTTAGTTTCAGGAGCAGGACAAATGCAGAAGAAATCAACTGTATGATTAATAAATTTGAACAGCGGTAATACACTTGTCATTGTGACCACACCATTTGTTACTCCTTGTCTGAGTTTTCAATGTTGGGCATGTTGTTACTTAATTGTCAACAGAACACGTCTCACTGACATGGAGAAATAAATGAATATCATTTAGAATTGTGAAACAAGGGCAGGATTAAACATTAAGACATCACTAAATGCATCGTAAGGAGTAAAATTGCCATCAAAAGCTTTACTAGCACAGTAGGTATAAAGACATTCACTTATTTATCATTACTTATTTCATTTGGAGTATCTTCGATGCTCACTGATCCAGTAGCACAATATTTTTAATAAACTCTAAAATGTCTCCACAGTAGGTGTCTACCAATTAGCAAGATGAGTAGTAAAATAATAATCCAACCTCTCTCATCCATGCGTATGTCTCCTGCCTTCTCCAGATCTGTAATTCTTGCCTGCAGCCTAGTATTATCATCGTTCAGATCCCTGAGAAGCTGTTCAGTTAGGCTTTCATTAATCATTGCTCTGTTCTGGATACTCTTAGCTCTTGTTTTAAAAATAGAGAACACACAAATTATATCTGTATGTCATTAGCATTTACTCATGTGTCATTATAATACATAACTGTATCATTATGCATGACATAAAGTTATTTTAATATCTCCAAAGTGTCTTATTTCACAAGATAATATTGTTTTGTGGAAGATGGGCATCAGGGAGGATGCTCTGGGGAGAGATGTACCATTTCTGCTGGGAAATTAATATGGAGGAAGATGTCCGTTATCTAGATGGAAAGCACAGGTCTTCATTGTGATGACTTTTAATAAAGTGAAATGTATTTTTGTGCTTCTCCACATTAGATCGCTTCACTCATCACCTTTTCTAGTTGTATATTTTCAAACTAGATTACAGACAGAAGAGATGAGCATAGTACATGCCCCTATAATCTCGAATCTTGACCTGTTCTGTATGAGTGGAGAAACGTAGGATCTCATTACTTCTAGGGCTTAAAAAGTCTTGTTATTGCAGAAATATTTTCAGTACAGGGAGACAATATAGTATGATCTATATTTCTTTAACCACTTGAGGGGCAGTTCCCAGCTGACAATCCTTGTCTGAATAATAGATTGGATTGACTGCCATTTCAGTCATTTAACAATTGAACCACCAAGTTAATAGCCAATGCAAGAAATAATGTATTGCCTCGTCTTGGAATCAATGTAAGCATTTTAACACAAGCACCTTCTACTGACAACAATACAGTGAAATGGAAGAGGACATCTACGTTTACCAAATCAAGGGGTCTTTTTCAAACGACACTTTAAAAGACATTAGTATGTTGTGATAGATGTACTCAATTTTTTGTCAAGAAACATAGAAGCAAACAAAAATAAGTTACAGGAACTGAAGGATTCCAGTTTTATTGCAGGATCAGATAGGAAAGTTCAGAAATAAGCAGTCCTTCTTCATTCCCTACCTTTCCGCAAACCGTAATGTTGACATTGTTTCATCATAATTGATGTCCGCTGGACTTATTGTTGCGATCTGTAAATCATTTTTAAGGTAAGCAAACAAGAAATCACATAAAACAGATCTAGGGCTTACTGTGTTTATTTCAGAAGTTTAATGAAGATTTTTTAAAAAAAAACTTTCTCCTTAATTCTTATTAAGCACAACATCACGCACAAGTAAGACACAGAAGCCTCACAGGCAATTCATCCACTTTCAAATAAAATCCAACAAAGAGGAGTAAAAGAGGATGATCATTATTTGGGTGTTGAATAATGAATCTCTGAGGTCCTAGATGAGATCTGTCCAGCATCTTTGCTGTACTGAGCAAGCTTGGCACAGCAAGGGAACTGGGAAACAGTAGCAATCCCTGTCCTGTCCTAAGTCTCTTGCTCGCATTTCAAAATGTTTTCCAGTTGTCTTTGTCAATGTCTGATCATTTCAACGTTTCTGACCATTTTATTGATGCTGAATTAATAACACTTCAACAAGACTGAAGACAAAATCTGTCACAAAGCAAAAAGAAGCACGTTATGCTGTGAAGTGTCTATCTTGTAAGATATTCTTTAAGGCAGCACTTAACCTTTTATATGTAAACCTTGAATAAAAAGAGAATCTTAGTTTTTCTGTACCCAATTTTCTCTTTTTCTTTTCTCATGCTTGAGTACAGTTTCATATGAGTTGACAGCTCTCCAGTACCTCATCTAAACTTCCATTCTTCATGGATGAGCTGAGTCAGTGAGTGTAGATAAGCCATCAGATCATGGGGGACATCACAGATGATCCCAATCTCATCCAATACTCACGAACACACACACATGCACACAAACACACACACACACAGGTTCCAGAAAACAATGCTTGATACAATTGGAAGTGGGAATATGGTCTAATATTAATCCTTTCTCATTCTATATGTAGATCCCCATCATCTCTTTACTTAAGATCAGTGAATCAAGAAGGTCAGAGATTGTTAGTCTCGATGCTCTTGTATCACACTGAATGATGCAGATTATCATTGAGTTATTTTTATTTCCTTGACCTTTTAGCTTCCTGGTGATCCAGTGATTTGTCACAAACCATCTGATTTTTAAGTTCATTAGATCCATTTCCAGGTTAGCAACTAGTGGACTTCTGGGATATGTCTGTCATGATACAGTCATTAATTTGTCCCAATCCTACACACAAGAACAATGAGATACAAAGGTCTCCTTCCCTAGTGAAATCGGCTGTCCATTAAGTCCCATTGTGTTTGATATTTAAGTACAGAAATGAGGGTACAAAATCATGGCTGAAGGTGAGTGACAGACACTTACACTTTAAGACACAAACCACAGGATTCCTGTGTGCAAGATTGTGTTAGTCACTTGGGTTCACCGGAGCTGAAAGTATAAACGTAGTAATTTCCTCTGGTGTTTTCTCTTGAGTGGTTTGTAGCTTCAGGTACCATTAATGAATGCAGCTGAGAGATTTCGACTTTTGTCTTGTCTGAGTTGTAGAGAATCAGTGGATATCTCTATCAAATGATCAATACTCACCATAACAGTCTTGCTGTTCCCTCCCAGGGCTGTGCTGAGCAGTCTGGTGAGCACTGAGTTGCGGTAGGGAATATACTGAACTTTTCTTCCTACCACTTTGTCCGATAAGGCACTGTACAATACATAAGAAACAGTACACAGCTACTTTAAGAACAGGCTCATAAAGATATCAGGTGTGGCCACACAGACATTGTTTACCATTTACAGTATAAAGAGGTGTTAGTGCAGGATGCAGACATAAATATTAAAACCGCAGGCTGAACTCAAAATGCAATATCAGCTTCATTTGCTTTCCAAGGAAAGGTCAGGTTGGGTTAAGCTTACCTAATAACATTTCCAAGAGTTGTTAGACTGAGATTGATTGCTCGTGCTTCATTGAATCTGTCAGAAGTGACTCCTACGCTTCGCTGTCTCTCACTACCAGCCAAATCCACCAGATTAATTTCAGAATGCTTCATAATGGGCTGGTCTGCAAAAACCTGCTACGAATACTAAATAGCTGTTTATTTGTTTATGAAACTGGACATCGTATTAAACTGAAATACACTTGCTAAGAAGCATCACCGTAAAAAATACCACCAAATATATCACAAATAACGAAACATAAAAATTATGCAGATATGGTGAACAGGTTCTTTCAATGAATGATTATACAGTATTTGGCTAAATTTGCAAAACTGTGACTCTTAAAAGTTCAGTGAAGCATTTTAAAAGATCCTTCTATTCATTTGTTGGAGTGAAACAAGATGCTGTACTTTTCTTCAACAATATTTGATTATAATTCCAAAAGTAAGATTGGAAGGATTTCCTTTGAACGTGCAACTAAAAGTGTAGCCCTGCCAATGCCCACATGTGTCTGGTACACCAGAGCTATGTTAATGGCCCTGCAGCTACCTTATTCACCATTCCAGAAAAATATATTGCTTTTCAATAAGAAATCACAGGAAGGAATGACATGATTCTAATTTAATGTGGATATGGAATAAATTATAAAATAAGAAAAAACCTTGCAGTTGACAGTCAGTACCGTTAGGCATAAATAATGGAGTCAATGGGAGATAATTCACTCGCTTTGTGGCACAGGACAATAACAACTTGGCCTTGGACAGTTAAACCCACTCTTTTGATGGACAACCGACATTGAGGCATAAATCAGTGCTGTTACCCTTAAGAGGGGAATCATGCAAAACTCTAGTTTATACCACACAGGTTGGTTTTAGAGAGGTGATTTATGTAAGGTGGTTCCCAAGTCCCTTCACTGGCAAGTAAGACTCAAGCACCACCTTACACCTTACCACACACTGGGAAAATAAATTTACTCTATTTATATAGCATTTCAGGGCATCCAGAATTTGACAACGTCTTCAGCACGACCTTACTTTTGAAGCCGATTTTCTGTAAGATCATTTCAGAAATACAGATAACCCAATTCAAAGTTAAGTCTCAATTCAATATTTTGCTAAATTCTGGATGCTCTAAAACAATAGTGGCCAACATGTGGCCCATGAGCCGGAAGTGGCCCACAAGCACATCAAGCCCCTCCCCGAACATTCACATGAGTCTAGGCAAGTCTGTGTTCTATCAGTAGTGTGTTCACAGTTTTTTTCTTGATTGAAGAAATCTTCATGTCCATTTCTTGATTTATCGCATAAATATGGATTTGTTTACCCCCTTACAGAATTTAAGTATTATTTATTACGACGGATAAGCAACCAAATAGTCTTGACCTGTGACTTTATCCTAGAATTCCTGTCACCCTATTTCACTCTTTCTACCATTTCACTATTTCATTTATCCTTCTCTCGTTTTATCTGACCCTCTTCTTTTCATTGACTGGTTTTCTTTGTATCCCTATCTTGCTAAAAGATAGGATCAAATACCAGACTTGTTAAGTGATCCAGTATGAATTACAGTGGTATGCAAGTTGCATCAAATCGCATGAGATATTTACTTATATCTCAATACATCTTCAAATTTTACCTGACATTCTATTTGATACCTCACTGCTAGTACAGACATTGCATAATGTATTCAATTTTATGAGACATTACATTATGTTCATTAGAAGTGATACCACTGCAGGGCTTTTTACAATGGTAGTGAAGTCTAACATCAAATGTCAGAAGACTTACATACTCCTCACTGGTTTCCACTGTGGACTCACTCTTCGTACCTGTTGAAAGCGAATGGTAATCACCATATGAGACCTGCTGCTGGATGTATTCCTATTAGTAGAGGCAGTGCTTCGATTTCTAATTCCTTGTTCAAGGAAAGCCTCTAGCTGCTTATAACTAGTGCATGGAACTGACTTGAGGCACTCAACATAAAATCCATGTCTGCCTTCTCGCATACGTAAACCGCTGGGCTTTCGAACCTTGGACAAAAGGTCTTGAATCTTCAAAATCAAAATGATATTAATCATTAACGCTGTCGGGAAGAAATGTACAGTTAAGATATTTCTACAGCTGTCACTGCCCATTTAGATTTACAGCAGCCAACACCGATGGTTCCTTTGTTTGAACTATGGGCTTTAAACATCCATACTGAATATTCACAACATACAAGAGAAAAACTGTGTAATTTAATCAAATAGTATGCAAGGGATAGTCATGGTTAAAGTTCAGAGTGGTGTTATGGAGCAGCATATTGAAATATGACAGAGAGATAAGATACAAGTTATGCCCATTATTCTCCAGTGGTGAAGTATCTTTCATAGCAGAAGAAAAGAAGAGTATTTGGGTGGGTGTCACGCCCTAATATTTGCTTGTGCCCCCCAGAAGCCAATTACAGAGCGTTGCTACAAAGATCTAGAAACATGTGTTCCCACACTCCTGAGATATCATAAGTGGTGCAACAGACCCAATGAGACGAAAAATAAACAAAAACTGAGAGGCGATCATGGTGTGCATCCAAGCTATAGATTGGGATCAGAGAGGGGTTGAGGGCAAGGGGGGTGGGTGGAGGAGGGAAGATGTCCAAAGACTCAGTCAAAAAGGAAGGTCTTGAACCATACAAAAAATGATAAGCCTATAAATATTAATATAACCTTGCGAAAATAATGCTCTTCATTGTTCACATATGTTCAAATGCTTGAGCTATATGTATAATAAAAATCAAATACTAAATCTGGGTTTAGACTTGGGTAAATAGGAATCGCATATAAAACTTCCATTTGAGTAACTGCACAGAAAAATATATACACTCACTTGTTCATTGTAGATCTCAAATATACTGAAATAAACCTGCAACAGATGACACATAATCAGTAACTGACACTATGTTAGTGTTGAGCTAAATAAAATATGACTTGGATCACTCTGCAAAGATTCACTCATGCTGCTTACATGAAACTGTTTGTCCTCGTTCTGATGCAGCTTAATTCCCTGAAAGAGTTCTTCACAAATCATGGGAACAAGTCCTTTGTTTCCTCCATATCCTGTCATTGAATAGCTCTTTCCTGATCCAGTCTGTCCATAAGAAAAAAGAGTTGCATTGTACCCTTTCCACGCATTCTCCAAGAGAGCTCTCCCAAGGTCACTAAAGACACGTTCCTTTGAATAATTAATAACGAAAATAAATTCCTCTTCACATTTTCAAAAACACATCACATTGAATTTTTATTTAACTTGGGGATAAGGTTTTAATCTAAAATCTTAGCAAAGCCGCTGTAATATTTCAAGAAATTCTTTGCAGTATTTGCATGAAATCCCATGTAATTGTGAGAATTAGACAAAATGTTCACTTCAACTTTGTTTATATTGGGGGAGATTAATTGGACTGACCTGTCCCACGTATCTGCTGTTGGGTCCATCAGGCATGTAAACGCCTTGGTCGTTCTCCATATATTCATCAGTTGACCAGTAGCAATAATCAAAGAGAAATGTTTTCTTGTTGCTGAAGCTTTTGGGATCAACAATGGTCATACTGTTTCCAAGCATGGAAATGATGCATTTGCTTCTCACAGCTTTTTCTCTCTTACACAGCCATGTATAGGCAATGACAAATGTGGATGAATTCAAAGATATTTAGTGAATACCATGTCCAATTAAGGCACACAAATGATCAGCAACAAATAAGAATTAATAAGGCCCTTAGCTCACATAATCGTATACATCACCTGGAGATCAATTTTGTATCGTCGGGGCTACCGGATTATTTATCAAAGGTGCAACTACTGGACAAGCATTTGGAGCAATGTTTGAAGGCATTACGTTCACACAAAGATAGCAAGGAGTGAAAAAAAGCCCAGAGATCCATTAAGCTCCCTCCCCCCACTCCACAACCCACACAATATTCACCTACATATGCTACGATTTATCAGTTGTGCCCAATTCCTCCCCAAATAACATTGGGTATTGAGTCCATACTCTCTTTGGTTTAAACTGAGCACCCTCATCTCATCATTGCTTTTCAATTCTGAAGATAATATGTGAATGTTTAGTTTGCAATCCATACCGAGACACCTCTACCCTGATCTAAAACTCATCAACATTTGTTTTAAACAATAAAATTTAAACATTATTCAGCTGCCTGGGTTGATTTTTATTTTGGAATTTTTGGAAAAAAACATATTTGATAGTTTTGTTTCCTGCACCTTGTGTTTGCCCCCTGTAGGAAACCACAACACGATTCACAATACAGTATTCTAGTTAGTTTGATTCATTTTGTACTACTCCTGGAATGATACAGGATAATTTAAGGTTATATCCAGCTTTCAAGATTGTTTTTGCTGCTGTATTTATAATGAACGTGACTACACACATGTAAAACGTCTAATTTTTTTTAAGTAGCATTCCATCGCCAAATAGTTTTACAAATAATATAGCTCGACATTTTAATTACGAATGTTTAATTCAATTCCGTGCTGGAAAATAATCCTTCTTTTTAATACTTCTGCAGTCAGCTTGCATAATGGAATTTAATGTAAACTGCACTTTTAAATATTGAAATGGAATGCACTTACCTGATTAAATGGGCATACACGGACAGCAACTTTTATGCTATCTGCATTAAGCATTCTGAGCTTTCTCAAGACAAATGGAGTAACTGTGTCATAAAATTGCAGAATTAAAATACAGCAATGTCAGAAACTAGACTGTGAGATACAGCTATCCAGCTTCAGGCAATGTTACCCTTAATGCATTTGGCCTTGCATCCTATTGTTGTAGTGTTTTATGTGTTGCTGTCCAAAAGAGATTACCTTTCTTTGTGCGAGAATATTCAGGTATTCAAGAGTGTAATGAGAGCTTCACAGATTCTTGTCTGAAGTTGATAAGTGACCAATCAAAATTCAGGGTCTTGTTCCCTTGGTAAGTGAAGCGGCGACACAGACCGCATAAACGTCTGGTTGGCGTGAAAGACATTTTAATTTTTCATGCCTGTGAACCAGCCTTGGGAAACACAATCCTAATGACACACAATATCATTAAAATAAGAAAACAAGACTTTTACAGTTAGTTTAAATATGAAAATATTTTTAATGTTCCATTTTTGGCTTCTACGAAATTAATTAGTTGAGGTTTTAAATATTTAGGCAAGCAATTTAATTATTTAAATGTCATTAATTTTTACAAAGTTCAGCAACAATTTATTCAGAACCCTCTTGTGTCAGCCATAACACAACTTAATTTTGTGTTGAATTAAATGCAATGAGTTTTAAAAGAAAGATTTTTACATCAGATTTTTATTTTGATGCTAATATATGCTCCAGCCACACACATACTGAGTAGCAGGAAAAGAGCTTTGTCTAATAATTGATCCTTCCCTTACTTCTAGCCTCTATTCTCAACAACTCTTTCCACACGATAACCTTCCCTCTCTTTCTCCACTTCATCAGCATTAATATAGTTATTGCTTCTCTGAGCTTTTCTCTCTCAAACTCCAAATACATTACCCAATGCAATCTTCTCCCTCCTTGTATTGTAATCAAAACTCATCTGACCGGCTCCTCTAAGTCATTATTTCCCATTCTTCAGATCTGTAGAGTTCTTTACCCGCTTTAGTCTGCTTTTCTTTCTTTACTGTTCATGGTTCTTTGCTTCTCAACAAGTTGGAAGTTTGGTGGACTTCTTTCTTATGAGCTTTATCTTTTCCTGGTTCTCAATTGCAGAAAATGACTTTGGATGTTCTTTCACTGTCCACCCCCTGACTGTTCATCATAGGTATGACAGCTAGAAACATGGTTGAAAATGTAACATCGTGAAGCAGTGTCCATATGACGCAATCTCAGGCCCTTCAGTGTTTAACTGGAGCATTGGGCGGCAGTTGGTCTGGTTACCGAGGAATAACTATTAATTTATGCATTTGGTGACATTAGATAGAACAATGTTGCTTGGATGGAAAGCAACCTGAAGGGGCTGAGTGTCCTAAGGTTCTACATTATGGGGTACAAAAGTCAATTTATCTTTGGCAATCGTAGAAGTAAGTAAACATTAAGGTTATATTAAGTTCAGACCAAAGGATGAAAGCCCAAATATTCAACCATCTGAAATTAACAGTAATTCTTGGATGACAATGATGATTTATTATTCAAGCATATTGTTTGAACAAATTATTTTCACTGTCTGCTAGACTTCGGTCAACTAAAAGTCTTGTGCAAGCTTTGATGGCTTGATAGATTATAGATTCATAGACTTTGAGTATGATAATGAGCAGCTCATGTGTTTAATTGGTTTTCTGAAACATGTTAGAAAACACCCCATGTGGTTCAATGAATATTAATCAAACCCTCAAGAAAAAAATATATAAAAGGTTCCTTGTTAGAAATAACATGAAGTTGAGTGAAAGGGTCAGTAAGAAAGAATTTAACAGCCCAGGAGCCATAGCTCCTATGAGTTAGTCCAAGCAGCATTGTCCAGTTCACTATGGAGAATGGGGAAATGACTGGTATCAAGTGGCTGTCCTGTCATTCATGGTGAGTTCTTAGTTTGAAGGATAAAGAAAGTGACAGATTGCTATAGGCTTTGCACCATCAGCTGATGGGTGTCGACCCAGTTAGTCATTGATTTAGAAAATACTTATAAGGAGTCAAACGGATAGTAATGGATGTAGAGACTTGATATTATTAGGCTTCGTCAGTTTGGTATCCAATCCAGTCATTAAAGCCCTGATGCACTGAAAATTGTTAAAATATTATTTTTTTGAAGGGGTGCATATTAGCTCTAATTTTTTTGATATCTTTGAAATTGGAAGATTTATTGTGAAATAAATCATAAAACAAGTGCACAGTGCTACCATAATATGACATCAGTGCATAAAACTAGCACCCAATCTAGCTAACGATGCAATAAAAAATAATCCAAACAGAGCAGTATCTGCTGGCACCAGCAAAAGCAGCTGGCTGGCATTATTCATCTACAAATTCAATAATCTTGCACTTAACTTTGCCTGAATCTATTTTGTAAATAGTTTGAATAATCGAGAAGTTGGTTCCTCAGGAAAGAGGGAGGGAGCGAGGGAGGGAGGGAGAGGGAAGAGTTGATTTCATAAAATTTTATATGTGGCACGTTCAAGTGAAACTCAGCATTTGTCAGATGTGAATCAATTTGATCCAGATGGAACTTTACCTCATCTCGCCAAGTTGCCCGTCCTTATAGTCTATCTTGATTAAAAGTTGATGGTCAGGAATTGCACAGATGTTTTGCCTTCATCTCAATTTATTGACTGAGTGTTATACTCAGTGAGCAGACAGTGTTGTGATTGAAACTAAAGGCTGCAGTAAGATTATGGTGTCTAATATAAAAATGATTTGCACAGCAGGTTATGATGAACATGCTCAATCTAATGAAATTTCCTTATGGTGCAGTCAAACTTTTATCAATTATCCGCAAAATTGAAAAAAAAGTGCTATTTCATACATATTTACCAACTGTACACCAACTATACATCCAATTTGGTGTTTTTTTAAAAAACTGCTTACCATCATTTTCCCTCTCCCCTCACACACACACTTGCAAAACAATACAATGATTCCAATCCACTGGGAATCAGTCAAAATCCATTGATTTTGGTTGTCACCAACATACTCCTCCAATCCTATTCCTCGACCTATGCCTTTTGCTCAGCTGGCTTCAGCCCTCCACTTATCCCACATCCCCTTCAACATTGTCGAGCATGCTTCCAGCCCCAAAACTCAAACTCCCTACCTCAAAACCCTCCGCCTTGCCTCCTCTTTCCCAGTCTTCAGATCACATCTGAGGACCTTCCCCTTTGACCGTGCCTAAGGTCATCTCCCCATGTCTCACTGCTGCCATACTAATATGGAATTTGTGGGTGTTTTTTTTTAAATCTTCCTCTCTGCATAGCATCTGGAAGTAGGAGTTTTGAACTTTGAAATTAACTTTTTTACCCCGTGCTACTTGAATTTTAATCAGCGGAATTTAATCCTAAAAAAAAGTGGCAAATAACACTTTTGGTGCAGCAGGAATGACAAAAAAAAATCAATGGAATAGTAAAACCTAAACAAGCCACAAAGGAGCAGATTCAGCACAAAAGCAGACGTGAGGAAAGAAGCAATCTTATGTATTGATAAGCTGCTGATTTGCTTTTCTTTCAGCTCACCAGTGAAGGAAGATGAGTTGTCCCTAGGTAGTTGAGGAGGTGTAATTGTCCTGACATCCTGTATTTTCTGCATTTCTTTATTTAAAAGTTCCAGATGGTCTGTGGTTTTATAGAGAAATGGAAATGGCCACAGACGCTACAAACAAAGGCAATGATTTTGGCTCCTGTTCCATCCTCCTGAGTATTGCATACAAAAAAGATTTAATGTTCGCGGAAAGCTGTTAATTGTTCATAACTAGCCTCCTGCTATAGCTCTCACCACGTCAGTGCTGATCGTCCAGACCCTGAGATGGACGCAGTCATTCAAAATAAAGTTCTGAGAAATTCAAGATGATGAACGATGCACTCATTCTTTAACAGGGTAACATTCAACAATTACAATCCACAGTAAACCTCACCAGAATGCTCAATGGACCATGGTTGCAAGGTGACCCCAAGTTTAGTTGAGAAATAAATATGTATTAGATAATAGAGCTGGTCCATACATCAGTAGTAAACAGCCCACCACTCAACCACATACACAGACACAAACAGACAAAAAACTGAGCAATAAATGCAACGGCTTTTCTCCTCACTACATATGAGGCAAAATAAATGCTGGGGAAGGAATGAGAGATCCGCGAAGTAAATAATTCATCTGTGGAACAAATTATCCACTGCAAGAAAGTATGATTTGGGGTCAAGAGTTATTTGGTGGAAATCCTCAGCACTCACACACACCCACACCCCCTCCACCACCATTGACGTATAAAAGGGGAGGGGGGCATGCGAGGAACAATTCAGCCCTAGATTCTAGAGTAACCACTGCAATTTGGCAACAAGACTGTTGTTTCTTGGACAGGATTTGATTTTGATTAATGAAGAGTGTATCGCTTGTTTTGCAGTGTTAAACGTAATTTAGAACAACAGTGATATAGTGGAAAACTTATAATAAGAGACAATATTCTTCTCTTATGTTCCAGTCCCAGAAGCTACTGTTTTGAATGCATCTTTGATCATCATTCTGATCAGATGAATCCTGTCTCCATATAATTACTGTGGTGATAACAGGGCTCATGGTTTCATCACTTGACTCCAGGAACTAGATTGAAATGTCTGCAACCTTGAAAAACACAAACATCCTATCCTCAGATAGATCCAAAAACATTTCAGCAATCCCAATCATCCAATTCACATGCAGCTCATTTCAAATCTTCCTCCACCTCAAATGTTCCTACCTGCACATTAGCTCAACAACCATGGAAATTCCTCCCAGTGTAAACCAATTGATTCAATCCATCCCACCTGACTCTCAATATCTGGTCTTTTTATGAAAAGATGTCAGCGTACTAACATTCTTGATTTACTTTTTGCACACTATAGGTTTGAAATCCAGAGAGATTAAGATGATAATGGACAGTTATATCTATCCACAAAAATGAAAGACAAGGTAACATCAGACAGAACAGAGCTTTGCAGTTGTTCGGCAGCAGTGATTCAGAGGAGCTCTTGGCTGCTCAGAGATTTGCAAATCTCCCAGTTGGACGATGCCAATCAGAAATGGGCGAACGCCAGCTGAGCAATTAAAAGGAATGAGCAAGCGGTGTTCATTTTATAGACAAATTCTTGAGAAAGACCAGCAGAATACAGTTAAAAATACTGTATGTGTAAACACCTATGGGTTCCTTCCAATGTTGGACTTGGTGGAATGGGAATGCATGTTTAATATGGTGATTTTATCTGAAGGATGCTTAGAGGCAGCTTGGGGCTTGAATTTATAAAAGGCTAGAAATGGGAAATCATATTAGCTGCAGGTGAAAGGCTTCCTGCCTATTTAATTATGTCTTAATCTTAATTGCTTACTAACATATGAAATGTCCAAGAATATTTTGGACTGGCATCACAAAGCACTGAATCACTTTGTGCACATAAGCAAAGTTTACGCGGTACAAGAATGGTGTATATTATTATTATATATTATATATAATGGTGGCCATATAACACAAATGCTTGTTCATAGGGGCTTTCCAAAAACACTTTGGATTTTGGTTTAAAGAATAGAGAAAAGCAATTTTTTAAATTCTGATCTGAATAACGTACTCAAGAGCATTCAATTTGTTGCTTGTTTGTCATGTATGGGGAAAAGAGAAATGACAAGGTTTTATTCGATAGCGCTCTCCTCTCTTCAAGTCCACCAATCTAAAATCATTAGAAGCAATAATTTTTTTTTTACAGAGCTTTTGGTTATTTAACTTTAAAAAGGTAAAAAAATGTTTCAAGCGATGAGTACAAGCTTACATTACCAAAACAAAAACAGAGCTCGCTGGCAGCACTCAGCAGGTCAGACAGCAT